CCCCCACCCCAGCTGTCTTGTTTTCTTAAACTTTTCTGAGCCAAGGCATATATTTTATATCCAGTTCCAAGTTACAGGACACCTCGAAATAGAAATGTTCGAAAAGAAAAAAAAGCCAAATTGACAATCTCACCTGACAAGTGAAATCTTGACTCAAATAGTTGAATACAATGATATTATTCAGTTGGATGAATCGCAAATGGTCTATAGTAGTTTAGTGTTTAATATGTGTGTAATGTTTCATTGTTGGCATCAATAGATGAGCAAAGAGACGAACATTTTACTTGTCATACAAAAATCATGTTGGTCATTATTATAGTAATGCTTGGGAGTGTTTTCTGAGGCGTTACTTGGTACATAAAGTTTGAGAACTACTGGCCGGACTTGTCACATCATCAGTACATACAACCCCCCCCCCCCCACCAAAGACAAATAAAACAATGCTTGCTTCAAAAAATAAAAATTTAAAATGTGTTTCTTTCTGTATGTGTAGGCTGCCATCTGTCCTGATAATGTGCGATCCAAGTAACACTTTTATATAAGTTGTCGCGTTTGTCTTGTTTACTAAAAAACGGAAATGACTCCAACAAGTATGCTATTTGTCGAATAAAAAGTCACATAATGGAATTGTTCGGAGAGTATATTTTTATTGATCATCAATAAAGCACAAAAATGATCATCTTGGCACAGTTAAGTACATAGGAACGGGATAGATAATGCCAACTAAATATCTTTCTTCTTTGCTGACAAACTTTATGAACATTAACTCATGAGGTATGCAGCTACTTCAAAATAACCGTTATATGCGTGTGTACACTGCACAGCGTACGCCAGACGGAAGTTGGCTCAGCTTGTGTCAGGGTGGTGCGTTGCATTCCTGGGAACCTTTTCACCCAGAGGAATCTCCATTAGTTTCTGTAGGAAAGAATCGAGTTATTTAAAAAAAAAAAAAAAAAATGTTGGCAACTTATCCTGCTCTAAACTGAGTTCTTTTGGGAAGTCATTTGTGTCATATTTTAATAAAAAACAAACAAACAAACAAACAGGGTAGTCATTCATAATTGAAATGACCACAGAAAAAAAACAACTTTGCCTTGATACATTCAAAGATTTCACCTTGCGCAGTCGAGCGTGGTAGGCGTCGTCGTCTTCGTTGTCGGCCCTCTGCGTGTCCACGTGGTGGCGTTCGCAGGTTCGGATCAGGTCGTGGGCGTCGTAGAGAAGTGCGGGGTCCAGCGAGTGGGCGTTGATCAGACTGACCAGGTACTCTCCGTAGTGTTTGCTGCACAGAGTGATTTTACCTCCTTCATTCGCTCGGGCGGTTGTGCTTCCGATTGCAAATCCTGATGTGTGCCGTCAAGACGGAGTTACGTGAGGAGCGTCGTACTCACCCGCAGAGTCCGGCCTGGCCCGGCTGAGTCTGGATGCCACAGGGCGAGTCCACGAGCTGACCTCCTTCATCTTTCTGCTCCATCACGCCGCACGTGCCTGCGTCATACAGGAGAGTACACAAAAGGCATACATTTATCTGAGGAGGAGGGAGAGAAGCAGTGGGCCAAATACTGACCCCTGTGTTCTTTTACGGGACTGGTAAGCATTGACATAAAACACTTGCCGGTCGCCCTTACCCGCCTGCAGTTCGTCAGAAGGTTCAGTGTTGAATTCTACGCCTCTCATCTGACAAACAGAAGCGGATGGGGACATGTGAGCAAACAATCAAGACGTTGAGATGTAAGCTGGAGAAAGCACTGGCGTGGGGTCGCACTTGCAGCAGCGCCTGCAGCCGTGTGGTCTCCCAGTCTCTTAGGTAGAAGAGACAATCGCGAGGATGGTGAGTGTGGAAGCCCTTGAAGTGGCAATGTTCGGTCCTGCAGCCCGTCTGCAACACATTGGAGGGGAAAGTGCTCATCATCTGCTAAACTCAAGTAGAAGTCAACGTGCTTGTGTCAAGTAAAACGAGTACAAGTACTGATTCAACCACTTTCCTCAGAGCAATTGATCTCGTGCTTTTCGACCTCGGGGTACTCAAAGCGCTTTCCGCTGTCACCTCATTTACCGACTGACAACGCAGCATCGGGAGCAACTGGTTCAGTATCTTGCTCAAGGACACTATGACATGGGTCCCAATGGCCGGGGATCGAACCACCAACCTCTGGGTTGGGAAACGACCACTCGACCACTGAGCCCAGCTCGTCATGCTCATCCCCCAACCCGAATATGGATAAGCGGCATAGAAAATAGATGCACGAATGATGAAAGAGCACAGCTGTGTCATGCGCCGTCGGCGTCAAGTAGAAGTCAACGTGCTTGTGTCAAGTAAAACAAGTACAAGTACTGATTCAACCACTTTCCTCATAGTAATTGGTCTCGTGCTTTTCGACCTCAGGGTACTCAAAGCGCTTTCCGCTGTCACCTCATTTACCGACTGACAACGCAGCATCGGGAGCAACTGGTTCAGTATCTTGCTCAAGGACACTATGACATGGGTCCCAATGGCCGGGGATCGAACCACCAACCTCTGGGTTGGGAAACGACCACTCGACCACTGAGCCCAGGTCATCATGCTCATCCCCCAACCCGAATATGGAGAAGTGGCCGAGAAAATAGATGCACGAATGACGAAAGAGCACAGCTGTGTCATGCGCCGTCGCCATCTGCCTAAAACTGTCACCATTTCAGCATACAAGAACTTGCACCGGAACGCGAGAAACATTATTGCTTCCCTTCGTAATGCTCCGCAGAATAAAAATGTTGTGCACCCACCGTGTAGTAAGGGTTGTTGCAGCCGCTGCAGAACTGGTACCTGCATTGGGAGCAAGTGAAGTGCATGCAGCCGCCTTTGGTCAGCGCGTACTGGAAGCGACAATGAGGACAGGCTGCAACGAAAAGCCGACGTTTAGTCGACAACCTTGTCAATCATCATTGAGTGCGTGTGAATGCTCGGACTGGGCGATATGGACTTAAAATAAAGGCCCAATTTTTCCCTCACAAAATTCCATTGCCAGGTCCTCCGATTAACCCCAGCTGCAAGTTCCCAAGAACAGCTGAACTTTATTTGGGGCTAAGCAGAGGCACTTGAAATGGTGGCAGGAACGTGCTGACTCCTAAACTGCAAAAAAATGGAATCCCAACTCACTGATGCCGTTGTCCCTCAGGTAGCCAGCCAGGCCCTGCCTCTGGTACTCGGGGTCGTTGTCCCGCTTCCACTGATGGAATTGCTCGCAGGTCAGATCCTGGTGCTGAGGCTCCCACTTACAAAACAGACGGATGGAATCCAGCGGTCAGCATCTCAAAACTTAACACCAATCGCTCCTCGTGTGTGTGCCGTCACTCACTGTTTTCTTGCACTTAGCACAGAAGCTGTTGCAACACGACAGACATGTCACCTTCAGCTGGTCGCCTTCATTGATGAAGCCCGAGACGCACTGCAGGACATAACATCAACAAAAGACGTTCACCAACACTGCCACGGTAAGACTTAAAAACGATAAAGATGTTCAATATCTCATAAAAGTGAGGATGCCTCACACATCTCTTCATGACACAACACTGAAGAAGTGACACTTGGCTGCAATGTGCAGTAGTCACGCATGAATGTAAACAAGCGGCAACAAATGCGAGTCGACCTATTCGTGAAAATGTCCATATTCAATTTGATTTCGCCACTGAAACTTGGTCGTTTTGACGGAAACGATGATGTTTCGTCGCGGCTTTGGTGAAGACGACACGCACGTGGCAGCACCACAGGAACTTGGGGTCCTTCATCAGCGCGTGCTCCGTCAGTTTTCTGTGGAAGAGCTCGTAGACTTCAGGCTCCAGACAACCCCGCAGCTGCAAAGCACGCGCATCCAGTGAGGTCATAGCGGCCCTTTCCACATCCGCCTGTACATGCCTCCTCATCACTCTGCACCCCCCCCACACTCCCTGGCCCCCTCCCTCCCCGCTTCCAGGTCGCACCTGGATATCCAGCGTGAAGAAGTAACTGTCCAGCTGCTCGGGATCAGTGATGTCGGGCCCGCGACAGATGGGACAAACCATTTCCCAGATGTGCCCGTCGCGCACCTTGATGGTGAAGTGCTGCGTGAAGCAGTCCAGACACACCGAGCACTGGCACGACGTCAGAGACTGCATCTGCACATGGACCACAAAAAAAAAAAAAAAAAGCAGTTAAAAAAAATAAATAAAAATCAACAAAAAGCATGAGCATATAAAAATGTATTGTATTTAAATCGAGAAAAAAATGCATTCAATTGGCATTTGTTGTGAATGCCTCTAATATAGATTTTTTGATGATTTAATGAACTTTTTTGGGGGCAATGATTTCCCCCCCTCCCACACACACACACACACACACACACACACACACACACACACACACACACACACACACACATTGGAGGTGTGCCGACCTTGCTCCGAGGGAAGATGCTGAGGCAGCACGGACATTTATTGTTGAGGACACGCCTGATGAAGTCGCGGTCGTGTGACTCCCTAACCGCTTGCACCACGTCCTCCAGCGAGTAGGCCACGCCGGGCTCCTGCAGCAGCGACAGGGTCAGCTCGCAGCGCCCCCAGCTGGGCAGGCCGTACAGCGCCAGCAGACGTCGGCACATCCGCTGTGGGGGTGAGCGAGAGATGTTAGCCGAGGTGCGCGCCGCAAATTGAAAACCGTTGCAGCATTTATACCGGCTTGATTGTAAGGGTCTACCTCTTTGTTGGGGTGGTTGGGGTCCACGGGCGGCTCGGGCTGCTCGTTCCAGATCCGCTGATGGAAATCGTCCAGTAGGGGTCGCTGCAGCACGGACAGGGCTCCCTTCACCTCGCCGCCGCTTTGCAGCAGGGCCTTCTCGCATTGGCATGCGTCGCGAAAGCCCAGAGAGTGGAGCTCCGTCATCTGTCCGCACACATGACTTCATTCAGCCGCCATCTGACTCAAGTCACTCCGATGATTTTGAAATGCCTTGAAGCCGGACTAGCAGCTGCAGAAACAATTGTGTTGTTGTAGCTCCAACCTTCATCTGTCGGTCTCTGAGCAGCTGCGTCACGGCTCGCTCGGTGTCGCCCCCCGATGCCAACCAGGCCAGCTTGGCCTCGGCTCTGGACAGCTTCACGCCTTCGCCACCGGCCGAGGCGCTCACCTGCACGGAGGCGGCCATGGCGCAAAGCTCGTCCAGCAGGTGCGGCAGTTCCGACGCCTGCCAATCACATGGGTCCATGCTGCTGCCGCCACAAGCGCGTAGCGCGGCGTACACTTCCTCGGGGCTGATGCCGTGCTTCTCGGCTTCCTGCAGAGGCCGAGCACACGTTAAGATTGCAAGAAAGAGTCTGCGTTCCGGCCAAATGCAGGTCTACTAAAATCATGATGACAAAAATATTGTTTTGGCGATATCTTGGTGGCAAAGAAACTATGTCTAAGTGAAGGAAAAAAGCTTAATTCAAGTCAGGCCATAGCCTTGTCTAATAGAAAGGAATAAAAGCTTTGCTGCCATCTTGTGACAGTTTTTACAAATAGAGGGGGGTTCACTGCAAGGATGAAAGCTTCTTACTTTGATCTGGCGTACGAGCTTGAGCCCGTCTTCCCTCATGCGTTCCTGCCTCTTCAGATCCAAACTGGCTCTTGGTTTGGGCCTGGGCGGGTTGCCTTGATGCTTGGCATCACCTGAGCTCTTCGGGGGATGCGGGGGTCCATCTGACGGTGAACCCGGAGAGCAGCACACCTTGCACACCTCTGCGGACGGGGGGTTGACAAAGGTGCAGAACTGACACGTCCAATGAGACTGAGGAAGACAAAAAAAAAAAAATTCCCGTCCGGAGGTCACACTTTGCCAAGGGTCATTTCACAGCAGTGGAAAGCAGACATTCAGTGGATGTCATTGGCTGAGAAACTTGGCTGGGGGGGTGGGGGGTCTATGATCCATAGTCTGTTATTTTTCAGTGTGTTTGAAAATCACACAGGACTAGATACCGCGACAGACATTGAAACCAACCTGCTCGCGGGTGTCCGTACTGGAACTCGGGCTGGAAAACACCGGGTTGATCGAAGGGCGAGGGGCCAGACGGGGGCGCTCACACACCTCACACAGGATGCTGCTGCCTTGATTGATGACAGTGCAGCTCTTACACTGCCACTCTGTGAACACATAACTCATATGAACTTTTTTTTCATGTGGGTGGTAGATTATTTTTGCTTACTATTCTTATGATTTGTTTGTCTTTTAATCTCTCTTAACTTCCCAAACAAATGTTCCAAAAACCGCCCGGCCATTTGCAACCCAAATTGGAATGATGCATTGCAAGGCGTCACATCTCATTTCCACAGTAAGGAAACTCCTCTCACCTGCGTTGGAAGGCGTTGAGCTGCGTTTCCAGGCAGGGCGCAAACGAGCCGCGTGGATTGTTGACCCACGTCCACATCGATGGCGGCATGTTGGAAGGAGGAAAAGAGTTAACGTGGACCTTGTGTTTGGATTAAACCCTTTACGGTATCCCGTTTCCATACCTGTTCGTCTTGGCGGGTGTGAGCACCGTCCTGGTGTGACCTTTGCGCTCGGGGTGCGAGTGGAAGAGGCCATCGCACTTCAGGCACAGCATGTGCTCGCACGTGGCGCACTGAGCATGCACGGGTGACACGCCGCAGATGGAACACATTCCTTCAGAGGTGGCAAACAATCAACATGTTCAAGGAAAGGAAAAAAAAAAAAAACGAGAGATGAGTGCGATTACGAATATGACGTTTAAAGTGGCATACCCTGCATCGTTTTCAGTCTTTGCTCTCGCTTGTGACTGGTCCTTGCCGGGTGGCGATGGAAGAGGTCGTCGCACGCGTCACAGAAGGATTGGTTGGCACACGAAGGGCACACGACCACTGCCGAGCCGCCGCACAGATTGCACTGGTCCGCTGCGCGCACAATTTCAAAGTCGGTACTTCCCAAAACTTGAATTCAAGACCACTGTGCTGTAATTTGGCAGTCATTCTTTTGCATACCACTTGTGTAATCTAAATGAGTAGTTGTGAACTGTTGTCACCGATTTTGGGTGAGTCACAACCCACTTTTATAGAAATTAAGAACAATAAAGAAAATAAATTTTTTTCAAAAAGCCCTTCATCGCAATTTTTTTTTTTAACACGTTCAGAGCACCTAATTTCGAAACTGGACTAAATGAGTAGTTGTGAACTGTTGTCACCGATTTTCGCTGAGTCACAACCCACTTTTTTAGAAATTAAGAACAATAAAGAAAATACATTTTTTTCAAAAAGCCCTTCATCGCAACAATTTTTTTTTTTAACGCGTTCAGAGCACCTAATTTCGAAACTGGGGATCAACACAACCGATCGGACAGTGACCTTAGTCAAATTAAACTTTCAGGCTCTTTTGGAAAGAATTCTACACTATCTGTCAAACTGCTTTTTGTTGTGAAGCGAGTTGCGTTCACTGGCAGCATACCGCGCT